TATATATAGTGTGTGTGTGTGTTTGTGTGAATTGAAGTTTAGGGGTTATATACGTAAATACATAAAAATTAAGTTGTATATATGTAAATCTAGAAATATTTATTATATTACCAGTAGGAGAGCCTTGATGTCTGTATCTGTAAGCTTGAATCCTTCCCCATCACCTTCTTCTTTCATCCTGATGAGTATGCTAAGCATATCACTGCCTCCACCATTGACTTCGCCGTTCTCTATTGCTTCTCTGTGCTCTGCAATTATTCCATCGAAAAATTTATCAAATCTTCCATGCAACTTCTTCATCTTCCTCACCACCCCCTGCAAATTCATTATTTACTTGCATCAATTAAAATTATTAGACATTTAAAACTCTAATTTGCATATCCTACCATCTTCAGTTAACTTACAAGTCTAAATAAACTAAATAAATTACATATTTTGATGATAAATTTACACTTTTGAAGACATAAATTTAAAAAGCCATTTATGCCAAACAGAAGAAATTACATCATGTGCACGGATTTCATTATATTGGGATTGTATTGATGAGTATCATCTCAATAACACCTCAATACTATCAATCCGTACATGAAATAGTGTGTTGGTTTTTTTTATTTTTAATATTGATTTATATATATATATATATATATATATGTATTATGTATGGACAAGTTAAGTTCGGATTTGATGTTATTGTGATGAAAATCACTTCAATCCGCATATGCGAATTCCGCGCGTAATATTGGCTCCAAAAGAAAATAGATTATGTGCGGAAAAAGATATGTTGGGATTTGATGGCATGGTGATATTATGATGAATTTCACTCCAATGCTACCAATCCACATGTTCAGATTTCGCACGTAATATTCGTTCCAAAAGGGAAAAAATTTGCATACGTCAAGGGGTATGCAGAGATGCGTACATAATAGGGTACACGGGGTTTATACGGGGATTACAAGGGGGTTATAACCTGTGTAATTCGAGTGTAACCTCCCGTGTAACTCCCGGTAACTCCCGTGTAAGCCCGCTGTAATCTTGTATCCCCAATGAATAAAATAAAAACGCGGGTTACAGGTGAGTTACATACAGCTGAGTTACACGAAATTTACAAGGAAGTTATAACACGCTTGTAACTCTCATGTAACTCTCATATAACGCCCGTGTGTCCTATTATGTACGCATCTCTGCATACCCCTTGAAGTACGCAAATTTTTTCCCTCCAAAAGAGACCTGTAAATCAAGCCAAGCCAAGCAGGGCACAAAATCCCCTATATTGAAAACACCGGCGAGCTGCATAAGCTCCACCACCATCTCCTTAAACTCCTCCGCCCCTTCCTTCTCCTCCTTTCCATCACCAAACACCCGCCGCCCCACCACCACACGTGTCAGCGCATCAGTCGCACAAGCGTTCACCGCCGCGCCGACACCCACTGCCCCTCCTCCCTTCTCGGCTATCCCCCGCACGAGTCTCTCCACCTCCCCTCCCCGCACGTGCCGAAAATCCTCCATCACTTTAGCCGAAAACAGATGCACGGCGCACAGACGCCTCAGCATGCGCCACCGCGCACCGTAGGGCGCGAACGCGAGATCCTGGTAGTTGTATGCGATGTGCTCGGCGCCGGAGTTGGGCGGCCGGCTGCTGAAATTAGCGTCGTGGGATCGGAGAAATTGGGCGGCGGCGGCGGCGG